CGATCCATGCCAGTTATTGCACAACGACAGCGTTGGCCAAGATCTGACGATCACCGATTACAACTTAAAACGGTGGCATCTGCTGTTTTTTTTGGGGTGTTCAGCAAGAGTCTATAATTTTTCTTATTTAATAAAATATTTATTATTATTATTTAATAAAAAAATATTTTTATTATTTTATTGTTTCCCTTCTACGTGACTTTACCGAAAGAACCAAGAATATGAATCCCGGCAGTCACGAAAGCTTTAAATCGAACTTTAAGTCTATAATTTGTCAATACTGTACACGAGAGCCTTGAGTATCGCGGGGGTTACGTTCTTGTAAAGTTACACGAAATACAAAACAGCGACTAGGCCTCGGCAAGGTAAGCTAATTTACCATTTTTAAATCTTTTATATTAAGTTCGCATGCGTGCTTGCTTGCGTGCTTGCTTACGACCGTGCAAATCTTTCGGTCGTTTTTTAACCCACTTCCCGTGATCCAATCGAGTTGACATTTTCCACACAGACTCGTTGTGCCAGACAATTATTGTTCGTGAAAAAAAATTCCCAAAATTTGACAATTTTTAGGCAAAAAAAAATTATTTTACATATATTCAAATAAAACTCATTCATCGCTTTGGCTGAACGTCACAGTGTAAGAGCCCAGAGCGTGACCCCTCCACAGGCCGTGGTGGAGTAGCGCAGTTGGTAGCGCCCTCGCTTCCCATGCCAAAGGTCGCGGGATCGATCCCCGCGTCCTCCACAGGCGAATATATTTTAAAATCCTTTATGTTAAGTTCGCTGCCACGCATATAAAGGATTTATAGTGAAAACTTTGTTTTTACGGGTTATACTTATTACCGGTTAAAAGTAAAGTGTAAAGGTGTCGACATGCCAAGGGATAAGGTAAAGGGTAGGGCAAAGGTAGCGTGGAAGAATTACCCGGTAAATACATCGTTTACCGCTCGTTAATAGCTCCGTGGCGCAGTCCGTGGCCTCAATTTAAAAATTGAATAATCGAGAGTATTCTATATGAATAAAGCGCTCTACCTAGCATTGACCTGTTATAAACCCTCATGTGTAGTGCCCCAGTAATTACCATGTAATCGGGTAGTTTTTATGGGGTAAGGGTAAAAGGTAGGGTAAAGGTAGTCATAATCAACGTTTTTGGGTTTAGATCGCGTAATTTATAAATGTGTCGTAACCCTCCACCACCCGACACGGCCAATCAGTAAAAATGTGTCACGTTGACAAAGACAAATAGTTCACTGCTTTAGCCCACCGGTGTGTTGAAGCCACAACATTTACAATTTGAGTACGACGTTTCGCTGGTAATTGCAACCAGCATCATCGGGCAATTCGCCAGAATGGTGAGGCTCTGCTGTCTCCCGTTCTTATATAGAGCTCGTTGTTTTTACCTTTTACCTTACCTTGCAGGGCTCTCGGCTCAAATCCGCAGTGTTGTTCAGAAATCCACCTCTTTATTATTCAGTTCAATAACGCATGTAGATCAAAAGCTCAGGGATACATGACGCACAAGTATATATCAATGTTGATAATACAACGAAATGATAACAATAACTTAACAAGCAGACCATTTGCTCTCTCCACCAATCCTTCGTGGTGTCGTGGATGGCATGGCTGCCTGTGAAATGGTTGACCTGGGTTCGAATCCCAATCTCAATCTTTTAACGCAGTAAAATTATAATTTTAATTCAGTGCTCTGTATTACAATAATGTCCTTTCAACGCACCGTTAACACACGTGATCACAACGCGTCACAACCGCAATGACGTGTTGTTCTGTGTGACGTCGTTATTGAGTTACACATCCAAGCTCGCACGGTGCAGTCACTGCACCACGTGGGAGCCATTAACACAGTGGTCATTAACCCTTTAGCTCTCAATCGTAAAACAATGTAAAATGTTAATAATACACAGGGTTTGATGAAGCAAAGTAGCTGTGCTCGCGTGCGCCGTGCTTAATTTGTGTTTTCGATGATTTACCTTCCAAATAAATCTGGCCGATGTCTCGTACTCCCCGAAATGGTATCTCGTAAAGTCACGTCGAAGGGAAGTAATAGAATAATTAAAATAAAACAATAAAATAATTCTCACGACGTTTCAGCCACAACGCAAGCAGCCGTCCTCAGGTGAAGACCAGGTCTGTCGGGGAGACAGCGTCTGAATGAAAGATACTAAGAGGAAGCAACGAAATATGTCAATGGAAGATTACCTTAGAGTCGCGGCATCTCTTCAGAAAGGTGAGAGACTCGATTAGCTGAGCCTTCTTATCACGGAGCTTGTTGAAGGCTCTTAAAGTTTTATGGAATCCCACCCCGTAGTGGCGGTTAAATTTCGATTTAAAGCTTTCGTGACTGCAGGGATTCATCTTCTTGGTTCTTTCGGTAAAGTCACGTAGAAGGGAAGTAATACAATAATAAGAAAGAACCAAGAAGATGAATCCCTGCAGTCACGAAAGCTTTAAATCGAAATGGTATCTCGTATTTTAGGTGGTTCAGCGTGCACCCCAGGTTAGTGTCTCCAGGCTGTCGGGTCTCCTGGCATTATATGCTGAGAGCTGTGGACCTGGTAGTGTTCGTTCATTTAACTCCATGCCGCTATCCACCGCACGTACTTTATGCAATTCTCCCATCTCAGTGGCTGTGCATGGCAGCCGACTGTTCTATACATCTCCGGCATGCATCACTTTACTCTCAGGTTTTTTCGGTAAAGTCACGTAGGAAAAAATTAAAATTAATAGAAGTAATAATAGAAATAAAATAATAAATCACGTTTCGTGATGTATTTCTGACACCAAGGTACTCTGCAAACCTTCTGGCTACCATCAAAGGTTTGTACACGAAGCCATCCAGATATACAAACACAGACATAACTTCAACCGTGATGATGGGTACAAACTGAGTAATCATTGGAAAGATGTTATTAACCATGCAAAAAAGATTTAACTACACATATTTGTACCATCTTATTTGACAGGTACTTTTCTACTGTACCGAGTGTTGACATCCCCAGCGTTTAACATTACTGCTTTTTTTGCATTTGGATTCTCAGCCAACACCTGTTTAGGTCGAGGTACACCGATTGTTCTCTTGTACAGGTGGACGTTCGCCAATTTCTCTTGTAGCTTCGCCCACCACCCCCACGTTCCATTCCCTGGTTCCCACATTCAGATAAGCCCCTTCCCCCCTTAACTGTATTTAAGGGCTTGTCTCTTGCAATTTTGCCTCACTTGATGCAGTAAATCTAGCTGTGACGGTCCCACCTGATGACGGAGACTTGTGTTGCCTCCGAAAAGTCGTGATTTATTTTTTTATTTTTATTAATTTTATTTTTTACCTACGTGACTTTACCGAAAAACCCAAGAGTATGAATCCTTGCAGTCACGAAATCTTCAAATCTAGAATGTATCACCTTGACCTGCACCCATCCCAGAGACACCAGAGCCCACAATCTAATCGGGTATGCAGATACAGTGATCTGGGGAGCTTCCCATACCATCATTAGACCTCCTTTGCCAGTATCAAAATATAATAATAGGGGTTTTTCCCCTTTTTTCTGGCAGCAAAACGGAAACCTTTTTACAAGGATTCATGTCTGCATTAACCACAATATTTTCAGTCAAAATACAAGCAAAAAACATACTATGATCATATATGCATTGTCCCTTGGTGTGGACCAATCAGTTTCAAGGACAATGCATATATTTCGATTTAAAGCTTTCGTGACTGCAGGGATTCATCTTCTTGGTTATTTCGGTAAAGTCACGTAGAAGGGAAATAATAAAAATAAAACATAATAAAATAATTCTCACGACGTTTCGGCCACAACGCAAGCAGCCGTCCTCAGGTGAAGAATGAAACACCACCAAGCTTGGAGCGTATATTTAAGCTGGGTTTTTATTATTTTATTATTTCCCTTCTACGTGACCAAGAAAATGCATATATTATCATAGTATGTTTTTTGTTTGCATTTTGACTGCAAGTATTGTGGTTAATGCAGTAACATGAATCCTTGTAAAAAAGTTTCAGTTTTGTTGCCAGAAAAAAGGGGAAAAACCCTATTATAGCTTCCCATAATCTTCATAACCTCCCGTCTGTCGGCCATTGAACCACGACCCCAGCACTTTCAATTCGGCCTTGAGAGAGCTCACCTGGTGCGGTCTTGCGGGTTTCCTAACCGTGCATGACAAGGCCACGTGTGTGTGGTGTGTACACAGAGCTGTATTGCACACGCGCACACACAAAACGCCTGTGTGAACAAGTGTGTAGGTTAACGTTTCTGTGTGTGTATACACGTGTAGTAGCATAACGCTCTATAGGCGGTGAATTACCTGTTTCACTGATGATGGGAATTGCATATTGTAAGTGTTTAGCATGCGACTAAAGAAATGTGTAAATGTTCAGAGAGGTGCCCTTGTGTGTGAAACCATCAGTATACATGCTGTCATTTTTGGGCTGAAATATACATGTATTTAGACTTTCGTTAAAGCAATCAAGATTCAGCTACATCAGTGGTCCTCACTAATTTTCAGAGGGGGGGGGAGGGGGTGGTGGGACTTTAACCGACAATATATCGTCAGCTTGTGATGGCTGCTACACGTTTGAAACCATTGGGGGTTAATCTTCTTGGTTCTTTCGGTAAAGTCACTTCCCTTCTACGTGACTTTACCGAAAGAACCAACAAGATGAATCCCTGCAGTCACGAAAGCTTTAAATCGAAATTCATTGGGGGTTTGACAGCAGCACGATGATGGGGGGTGTTTTCATATTTGTGCGTTGTCGGGGGGCCGTACGTCAGCGGCCGCAATGCAGGCCACCAGGGGCCACCAGTGTGGACCGCGGGGCCTTGCGATGAAGAGCGCTGAGCTACACAGACTGTTTAGAACTCACATCAGTGAGTCAGAATTGTGCGCGTTAGATGCGCGTAGCAGATCGTGGTCCTGCGCCTGGAGTGTACTCATGAGTCGACTTCGGATAGAGACGCGAGATGCAGACGTCGATCAACGGCGAACACTTTAATAGTTTTATCTTCACACACTGAGGTCGCGCGGAGGTTCGGCACAACGTATCAATTCGTCAATAAATATCGCTTTTCCAAGATCACGATACACGTGTGTAAAAATCGATGTTTTGATGTCCATATGTTTGCATGCAATGGATGCACATGATCCCATACACTGCAGTCATCAATGCTTGGTCATTTGGCTAATTTTACTGATTTCACTCTTTGTTTTTGTAACTTGCTAATGAACCACTGAGAAGCCAACAAGTTTCATCCATTTGCCAATTTATTTTATTTGTCTGTCATGCAGTCGTTTATCCATTCGTTCATTCATTTCTTCTTTCCTGTTTTTGGAGCCTTTTCCAGACCACAGATGAACCGTCGAGGGATGCCGAATTCATCTGAAACAAACGCATGACACGTGGAATTCACTTTGCAGATCACTTCGCAGAAAAAAATGCGACAATTTTGTCACAAACTGCATACAGTAGCACCTCGGAGATCGAACGCACCAGAACTCGGACAAATCGGTGTTCGAACATTTTTTGCCCCGGAAACCAAACGAAATTCGGAGGTCGAACGGGCAATCGCGACTTGAAATAACCTGTACGGCTGAGACGCGTATGGCCAGCGTGCATGACGCTTGCCCAGACAAAGGTTACTCCCCTTCCAAACAATAACACCACCACCTCCTCCTCCTCCTCACCACCTTCCACTCAAGCCAACAACTCTCCTTACTACAGGTAAAGTTAAGTTCAATGTTCATTTATTTAATTTAACCCATATATGTATTCATTTATTCCATTTATTTATTGTGTTTCTTGTTTTTTCGCATGATGTTATGCATGTAATTACTGTAAAACTTCGTGTAAAAATGCTTTATAATGAGAGATTTCTTGTGTCTGGAACCAATTAATGTCATTTACATTAATTGTTATGGGGAAAATTAATTCGGTGTTCGAACAAATCGGTGTTCTAATGGCCTTCTGGAACGAATTAAGTTCGATCTCCGGGGTACCACTGTATATGTGTCAGTATACCAGTTCGAAGACGAGCAAGTATTGTCTGAACAACGTGAATAGGGTTGCCACCTCTGAGGTAGGTAAAAAAATAAACCAGGACACATCACTGAAAGAGAAATATCTCACAATACCGGAACAGGGGAGAGCTAAATGTAAACGCCCTGTCTTGAGTGGTGCACGATTATTATAATACTGGTAGGAACCTCCTGGTTACACCAGCCCACAGGGGATTATTGTGTCTGTCGTGCAGGGAGGGGCTGGGTGGGGAGGGAGGGGCTGGGTGGGGAGGGGAGAGTGGGGAGGGGCTGGGTGGGGAGGGTGGGCAGGGGCTGGGTGGGGAGGGAGGGGAGGGGAGGGTGGGGAAGGGCTGGGTGGGGAGGGTGGGGCTGGGTGGGGAGGGGAGGGTGGGGAGGGGCAGGGTGGGGAGGGTGGGGAGGGTGAGGGTGAGGCTGGGTGGGGAGGGGCTGGTCACCCCGTGGTGCCCTTATAAAACTCAACGTTTAACCTACTCACGCCAGCTTGTGCCCGCCCTCACAGTCGGGCATATTTGCGGAATACACCACGCCGCCGTTGACCCAACGTTCCTACCAGCTCCCTCCGCAGGAATGTGTTTACTACGCACCTGGCAGATGCAGAGTTTTATTGTCCCGGGAAGGCTTACAGATTTACCGAGACAAGCTACCTCAACAGGACGATCCTGGGAAAATAGTAAAAGTGGCAACCCTACGTACGGATATAATACATCTTCTGCCGCTCATATGCGACTCCTTTTATCTGCAAAAATACGCGGATAACACCACTTTCAGAGGACTCATCTGCGGATTAATATGGTGGCGCAGTGGTTAGTGCGCTGTGCTCTTAGCCTGGCAAACCGAGTCCGATCCCCAGCCACGGCTGACATCAGTGACCAATATCTGAATCGGTGTCGGGCCTCGCTGAGGTCAACTCAGCCTTAAATGAGTACCTGGTTGCGGTGTGTAAACATCAGCATTGGGAAGACAAAGGCAACTGGGTGGGGTGATGGTGGCCATCCAACCCCTCGTGTGCTGTGCTGGCCTTCATAGGTGCCGCTCGCTAACAGCACTTGCCCCAAAATTCCATTGAGGCTATACGGGGGGGGGGGGATCTTCGTCTGTGTGTGACCAGATTAGTGATACATGAACCGACACTCGGCCTCAAGTTTAGGGTGCGTTTTACTTCCAAGCGTGTCTTAGAATCCGGGACAGTACTGCCATTGATTAAAACAATTTTTTTTAGCAAACAATTTTAAACACGTGGAGGCGGTTCATCTGTCCTCCAAAGCTCTGGAAAACTAATTCTAGATTTGAAGTTTTCGTGACTGCAAGGATTCATACTCTTTGGTTTTTTCGGTAAAGTCACGTAGGTAAAAAAATTAATAAATGAAAAAACAACTCAATTAAATCACGACGTTTCGGAGGCAACACAAGCTTCCGTCTTCAGGTGGAACCGTTACAGCCAAATTCACCGCAGTAAATGAAGAGAGCTCATAGAGAAACGCGACTATATAGGGTAAGAGGGGGGGGGGAGGAGCCTGGAAAACTCACAGGCTACACGGGGCGGAATCTTTGTTATGGGTATCTGCGCGATAGGCAAGCGAGGCCAGCACTGACCTACGAGCAGACGGGCGAGGTGGGAGACCTGGTTGCCCTGCACCTGCACGATCACCTTGTCCTTGGAGCCGGGCAGCGGGGTGAGGGTCACGCTCGCCTGGACGCGAATCTGCAGCGTGTGAGCCAAGACCTGTGGGTCCAGCCCAAATGCCTCCAAGTTCTTGATGGTCGTCACCTGCTCCAGCGGCACACGCGCAGAGAGCACACGCGACGGGCTCCGTGCGAACGTATTTCACGTTTTACCGTGATCAAGGTCAAGTCAAAGTGCTTTCCTGCCATTCACAGCCCTGAGTCAGTGGTGGAAAATTCCTTTGAGGCTATGGCAGAGGCGCATCTATACAGAGGACACCCACTGTTGACTTATTAAAGTGGTACATATTTTATCGACCCCCCCCCCCAGGAGAAATGATGGGCTGAGTTAACCCCCAACCAGAATTTGAAGCCAATACTAAAACGAAGACGTGAACTCTGTGAAGGGTGGACAGAGGCAGGTGACCTTTATAACCAGGTACGAGCTCGGTGATTAGAGACCTCTATGTAGGAATGTTAGCCTTCGTTCATACTGTACGTTGTCAACGGCGCTACACTCGGAGATGCTGGGGAAGAACAAACCAAACACAATAGGCAGTTCCAAAGAAATGGGTTTTCAGTCGAGATTTAATATTGCGTAGCTCCAGTGGCTTCCTAATATCGGAAGAGCATTCCAGACGGCCGCAGAAGCGCGTCTGAGAGCGCGCGATGCGGTGACTTCGGTCTTTGTTCGATGGCCAGCAGCCAAAAGCCGCTCTTCCAACCTTGCTCAAGTTACGAAATGCATTGCACTCTTGATTGCGCGCAACTCTTGAGCAGAATCAGAATCTTTGTTCAAAATCTTTTTTCTGCCTGGATAAAGAACTCTGCGCTGTACCACCACCCGGATTCACGTCGGAGGGGGCGCGGGGGGAGGCCAAAACATCGCGCGTTTATCGTGTTTGCTCGCACGCTCGGTCCTTTGCTCACGTGCACAGCCGGGGGGGGGGGGCTTGCGCCGGCACACACCTTCTTGTTGCCGCCTCTCTGCGCCACATGGATGTCGATGGGCTCGACGTTTCCCTTGCGAACGACCGGCGGCCGCCCTGGGAAGAGCAGCTGGTGGTAGGGCTGCATTTTCTCCAGGCACCTTGGTTGCAGGGCGAGGGAAATGGGGGGGGGGGTGAGGGTGAGATGGGGAGGGGGAGACTTTTGTTGTTGTAATTTTTCCCAGTTTTACCCCGATGGTGTTATCGGCGGTGGCGTCACGAGATGAGAAATCTCTCGCAGCGAAGAGCAACGCTTTATGTGCTAGAGAGTGGCCCGCGGAAGACAATACTGCAGAGCTACCCTCGGAGATCCCTTCAATTGATCTCTGGCCCACAAAGTAGGGGAGCAGAGCTTTTCCGCTCGCTCTGCCACTGACGGCGATTTTTTAAAATTATTATTCGCAAAGCTGTAATTTGGCCAAATGCAAAGACAAATTTTGCATCTTCAATTTTTTCTTTGCGTGCAGCCATTGGTGGCCTGAATGAAACAATCAACTCACTGGTTTAAACACAAGCGGTTGCCTGGACTCGAAAACCAGGACTCAGCGGCGCCAGCTCAGCACTCTGACCTCTGAGGAACCCAGCCACATCTAACAAAGGAAGACTCTAAGCCTGTACGTCGGGGCCACGAGGCAGTGTGTATGTGTATGTAGAACTTCTTTCGCACCATACGTAGCCAACCGTACTAATCAGAGGTGCGGGGGAAGGACAACAAGCTAAACACAAAAAGCCGTTCTAAAGAAATGAGTTTTCAATATAGATTTAAAAGTGCATAGCTCCAGTGGGTTCCTAACATCGGAAAGAAGAGCGTTCCAGACGGCCGCAGAAGCGCGTCTGAAAGCGAGCGGATGACAAAAACATACTGTAATGTGAAATCCTCGTTACCGCCGTCGTGAAGATTGTAATATCTGTCGCAAGCAGTAGCTCCATTTATATGAATAAGGCTCCATTGTGAATGTGTCCCTATGCTCCCAGATGAGCGAATGCAACAAGCACGTTTGACCTCTCGACCGACATACAATGTTCCTCTGTATTCTCAGGAATAATATGGTGTGTTTTTTTTTTTTATTAAAATCTACTTCGATACCGATGGTACATTCCACGCACACGAATGGTGTGCTCGCTTCATTCTGTTCGCATTCAAACACCAGCCGGGGTGGCTCCTCAGTGGCAGAGCGAGCGGCTCGCAGTCACGAGCCGTTCGAGAAAGGACACGGGGGAATGTATTGTACAGAATTACTTTGCATTAATGGTGGCTGCCAGAGTGTGCAAAAAAAAAAAAAAACGATATTTAGATTATTTCAATGTCCAAACAGTTTCCCGCATAGGTATGCATGTGTAATGGGTTCCGGAGACACTTGTAGAGGTAACTTCTTTATTACAATCCAACAGCACTCCAACACCAACTCTCCAACAGTCCAACCCTCCAACAGTCCAACAACTCTGTTACAGCCTAGGTACACAGCCTAGGTACACAGCCTAGATACACTACTCTGGCTACGCTCTGGAACTCGCCCTCACAAGGACGTAGAGCCGGGAGTTCCAGAGTCCCACCACTCGCTCTCACAACATCCCAGGGTCCTCAGATGGCTGGTCTTGGGTCTTAGGTCTTGAGCTACAACTGGCCCTGATCGTCCAGGGAGCTCCCCTTTTATGCCTAGTCCCCAACGAGGGGTGGGGCCGTGTGCGCCCCCAGATATCCCACAGAGCACACACAGCCCCCCCCTTTGGCGGCGCCAAGGGGCTTAAGCACCTGGGACCCAGCGCCTGGCGCCAAGGGGCCCAAGCGCCTGGCCCGCCCAGGGTCCCAGAGCCCTCAGCAGCCCCTCCCTTCTTATGTCACTACACATGTTTCTTTAACCTTTTTTTGCACCGTACGTAGCCAACCGTGCTAATCGGAGGTGCGGGGGAATGACAACAAACTAAACACGTAAAGCGGTTCTACAGAAATGAGTCATCAATGTAGATTTCAAAGTGCCACACCTTCCAGTGGCGTCCTAATATCGGAAGGAAGAGCGTTCCAGACGGCCGTAGAAGCGCGTCTGAAAGCTCGCGATGCGGTGGCCGTTTTTGCTCGACGGTTAGCCAAAAGCCGCTGCTGCTGCAAGGATGACCGGAGTTCGCGTGGTGGTGGTTTATGCTCCTTGACAAGATCGGCAAGGTCTTGCACAGACGGTGATGTCCGTGCAGCCTGCGCTAGGTGTGCGAGCGCTCACCTGTTCATCAGCTCGTCCCAGCGGAGGCCGCCGATGCCGCACTACGAACCCGGCGAGCCGAGTTCGATTCCCGCTCACGGCCAACACCAGTGACGGATACCTGAACTGGTCCTGGGCCTCCCCTAGGTCGCCTCGGCCTCAAATGAGTGCCTGGTGCGGTGAGACAAGGGCGGTCGGGCGTGGCGCTGCCCACCCACCCCCTCGTGTGCCGTGCCGGCCTTCATAGGTGCTACTCGCTATGAGCACTTGCCCCAACAGTCTGTTAAGGCTATACGGGAGACCTTTGTTACTTTGCTCACCTGTTCATGAGGTCGTCCCAGCGGAGGCTGCTGATGGTGTACTGCTCTTGCTTGTCCAGCAGAGAGTCACACAGCACAGGGTTCACGGTCACCACCCTGCAGGCATCAAGCGAGTGAGCGGCCGTTAGAGAGCTATAATTATTCAATTCTTACAATGTATCCTTATTCTCGATGCGTGGATTGTATCACAATAATTTTTTTATTCTCCTTCTTAACGGAACTGTCCACACTCTGGTGGGGTTCTGTCTTTCTGGTCCTCTCTCTCTGCAACCATTGCATATTCTATATTCACCACAAGGGCAAACATAAAAGCATGGCCTTTGAGAAGTGAAACTTGACAGTTTGTCGAATTACGAAGGGGATGAATATCCCTAGCGGTGATCAGTGAGGTGACTTAGAGAGACAGCTCTTACAAAGAGGACATTTCTGCCTGTGAGGCCAGACGGCATGGTAATGCCACCGCAATCAGCAATCAGCAATGAGAACAGAACACATGCTGCCCAGTGAGGGCAGATTTTTGTCTTTCCCCCCCTCCCCAATTATTTTACGATTGTGCCGGCAGCGTCACGTCATAATGTTGAATTTTCCATTCAAACGTTCGCAGTAGTACCAAGCAACTTGTTTTAGAACGGTCCGCGGAAGGTTTTTCTACAGAACCACTTCTGAGATGCCTTCAATGTGACCTCTAATCCACCACTGGTGGTGCTGCACCATCTCACGTGTGTACGTACGTTGAACTTCTGTCGCGCCGGACATAGCCGACCGTGCTAATTGTCGGAGGTGCCCTGCTACAGAGCCGCCACGCATCGCACGGCAATCGCACCGAACGGCGATCGCGACCCCCAAAGATGACGTCGCGCGTCCAAATCGAGTCAAAATGAAATTTTTTCACACGATGGCGTTGTTCGTAGTCAACGGTGGTGACGCGGCTGAAGCCGCGAACACGTTACTTTTGGAGGACGAGCGTTGTTCACTCGTCGGCAGCTGCCACCTGGTGACCGTCTCCAGCAAGGCTGGCGGGCCGTGGCGGTCGCTGCGAATGTTTGGCCTCGCAAGGTGATGACCGAAATAATCCGACGGCACCTCGGCCCTCCACCCACCCCTCCTGCTTGTCGGCGAGGTCGTTTTCCCTGACGTAGTTCGTGAGGACATTTCGGACGTCGTTTGCGCCGAGGATGTCTCCTTTCCTGAACAGAAGGAAAGAGAAAATGGGAAAAACGCAAGCGATTACTGAACGGAAATGTACCAAAGAATCACGTAACCATTCAGCACAATCTGAAAATGCGGCTACTAAACGGTTCTATGAGTTCTAAAACCGGGGGTTCTTCGACAAATGGCCTGCGGGGCCAAATGTGGCCCACACAAGCTCCTGGAGTGGCCGCGCTGATGGCCCACCAAGATATTTGGCTCGCCAGGACACACACGGAGATACGGGCTGGTGAGATTGGAGACAAAAATGGGAGAGAGATGAGAGAGCTATTGGTGAGAGTGAGAGATGACCGAGACGAAACGGGGACAAAACACCGGGGACACGAGAGACCTGGACACAAAAGGCGGCCCTCCAAAACCACAATTACAAGCGGGGGTATTTAAAACACAAACGTAGCATGTGAATGTTTTCTGCGGCCGTCTGGGGGAAGGGTGGGGGGGCATTATCATTCCTTGCGCCAGGGCCCATGCCAACCACGCAATGCCACCTTCCATTCACAGCGGACGGATCGCTCGCAGATGTGGGGACGTGGAAGAGGTGTGGGACGAGCGGGTGCCAGTGGACAGGGCTCGTGTTCAGCATTCATAAAGTGGCGTCTTCCGTGTGGAGGAGCTGTGGCCGAGGGGACAGGATGTGAGACGATTTTAGTTTAACGCGCGAACTTGCAGCGCCACACCTCCGGAACAACCTCCTGGGATCGAACCCACGACCTCCTGCATACCAGGCGAGGGAGTTAACATTTCTCCACCGTGGCGTCCTAAATGGGGGGGGTGGGGTGGGTGGAGGCATTATCATTCCTTGCACGAGGGCCCATACAAACAGACACGTGCGGCGCGTACGTGCACACAACGGTAGAGGCAGCGCTGGGCAGGTTCAGAGGCAACGCAGAGTTGCGCTTCGCCGGTTCCACGGCGAGCCCGGCGGAAGGGTTTCACCGAGAGGGGGGCACGGCCCTTACTTGTGGCCCGCCGGCTGGAAGAGTCCCAGGACGCGCGTGGACACCCCGTACAGGGCGGCAATGTCGGGCGCGCGGTACAGCGTCTCCCCGTACGCCCCCACCCCCTCCTCCTCCTCCTCCGCCACGGCGCCGTCCGGGGGGTCCTCCGAGTTGGGGAGCGATCGCAGCCTGCGGGGAGACGCGGGGCTCCATCAGCGGCCTGTGTCAAAAAAAAATCTTGTGCCCGGCATTATTCTTCTTGGTTCTTTCGGTAAAGTCACGTAGAATGGAAATAATAAAATAATAAAAATAAAACATAATAAAATCATTCTCATGTTTCGGCCACAACGCAAGCAGTCGTCCTCAGGTGAAGAACAGGTCTGTCGAGAAGACAGCGTCTGAATGAAACACCCCTGAGGACGGCTGCTTGCGTTGTGGCCGAAACGTCGTGAGAATGATTTTATTATGTTTTATTTTTATTATTTTATTATTTCCATTCTACGTGACTTTACCGAAAGAACCAAGAAGATGAATCCCTGCAGTCACGAAAGCTTTAAACCCGGCATTATTCTTATTCCGTACGGCGGCTGATGTAGATGCAGAGCGACAACTACGATTTTACATTCAGGTGGTCAGGCCCAGATAACCGTGTCGGAAGCAAAGTGGATCGGAGCATTGCGTCATTATAGGTTGTACGGTCTGTTCTGGATGATCACGGTCGCACACTACCGGAGAGTTTTTAACTGTCCATTTGTGCATCAGGTTTCCGCATCTGCTGCCGTGGTTTCTGCAGTGGGCTGCGGTGTAGAGGGTGGACCATGAACTTCGTGGAAGATCAAACACAGGGATCTTCTGCGCTGGGTCTTTCACGAGGTGGTGTGTGTTTGTGAGTTGCGAGTTATTTTGAACTCCGGAATCCCCACACACACAACACCATTCTCAACGTAATTGCCACGTCAACATTGTCAACGTCATAACCGCACCATTAACGTTGTCAAACGCCATCAAAATACCATCATCACCATCGTTACCACGATCAATACAATTATCAATATCCCCACCACCGCCATCAACAAAGATCCCACGTATAGCCTGTTGGGGCAAGTGCTGTTTGCGAGCACCTACGAAGGCTGGCACAGCACATGAGGGGGTGGGTGGCCATTACTACGCCCGGCCGCCTTTGTTTCCCGAGGGGTGATGTTTACACACCGCAGCAGGTACTCATTTGAGGCTGAATCGACCTAGGGGAGGCCCAGAGCCAGTGTAGGTAATCGTCACTGCTGTCGACTGGGAAGCTACCCTACCGCTCCCCATCAGCACCAAAGACAAAGATCCCCCGTATAGCCTGAACAGACTGTTAGTGCAAGTGCTGTTAGCGAGCACTTATGAAGGCGGGCACGGCACACGAGGGGGTGGGTGGCCAGCACCACGCCCGACCACCTTTGTCTCCCCACCAGCACCACCACCACCACCGACAGCACCAGCGCAGCATCGAACTCACTCCTGGTGCTTCCAGTCGATGTTCACGATGTTCTCCACTCCCTTTGAGGACTCCTTGACCTGCAGGAGACCCCTCTGCTGCATGCTCTGCAGAAACTTAGACAGCTGCCAGGGCACAGTCACCAGCACAGAAAGCAGCCATCAGAATTTTACGGGAAAAGGATCGAGAGCAAAATGTTATTCTCACCACTGAAATTCTATTATTATTTATTATTATTATTAAATCCCCAGGGCCTCCCCGGTCAACGCTGGGGTGTATGAACCGTACATGTGTCGTCTGCTTCCCAGTGGACGTAAAAAATGTACTTGAAAAAGAGTAGGCCATTGTGCGCCACGTCATGATCCAAAAATGTGCCAAATTTGAAATAAATAATACGACCCGCAGATAACTCAATCGGGAAAACACACCGCAACATCTCCACCCCCCCCCACCCACCCACCTGCGAAGCTACTGGCGGTGACATCTGGCGGTGACATCTGTGTCACCGCCAGTGGCCTCTCCGTGATGGCCTTGCGCCATAAGAAATAGTGTGAATCCCAAACGTGCCAACGATGTTGACTTGGAGGCACTGCATTGATGGCTGGCATCCTTGGTGCTGTCTCATCACCACCATCATCACCACCACCCACCAGCGCCACCACAGACATTTGCACAGGGGTTCACCCTTGTGCCGCTTTTGATTATCGAGTTAGAAGCGGAACGACGCCGCCGGTTTGTGAGCGAGACTTACTGACGACACCGACTGGCGACAGAACGGTGAATTATCGCGCGATGGCGGTCGACAATAACGGTGACGGGAACGTGCGGTTTCTCGCTCTCTCCAGCTCAGGTTGAGCCATCTCAGCAAGACGAACGTGCCATTTCGAAAAGGCAAGTTAATTTTTGATTTTGAGTATACTGCTCATCGTTGTTGTTGTTATTCGAGTTTGTGAATAGGGGAATTTTGAGTCCCGGTTATGAATAGCACAATATTCGTATTGCAATAATTCAACTGACTTAATGGGAGCTTTTATTTACATTAATGAGAGTAGAAAGCCCGTTGCTCTGCAACGGAAACGGGAAATAAGAGACAGCTGTCATTTTCATTCTCTTTTCACAGGCCTCCTGCACTCAGAGCACTACATTATTCAGATTTTGTATGCAATATAACGGCCAAATAACGTGTATTGTGCATTAAAAAAAAACATATATTCTCTAGGATTTAAAGAATATTCTGGTGGACAAAAATATTAAAAGGAGCCGCTATTATTCAACGTCTTCTGAACTTCTTCCGCAATTTCAATTCAATGCAAATGTCTATTTCCTGTTTAGCCAATTACCCAGCTAGCTCCGAAGCAATGGAGAGAAGCCCAGGCAGCAGCCATTCACGAAACTCGAGGCATAGATTTAGATCATTTTCAATAGTAGTATGATAACCTTGATGGGGTTTGTTTAAATATTTAACATACCTTCTTGTAGCTGGATTTCTTCATGTCTATCCTCTTTCCGTTGGGACTGGGTGTGAAGCACAAAAAGGAAAAACGAGATAACAAAAAATGTTGACGGACAAATGGAACAAAAAGAAAACACACACACACTCCAGCGTTGACTGTGTCGCACGCTCACTGGAATCACAACGTCTCGAGCCGTGCCGGTGCCGACGCGGTTACCAGCAGGGGATGAGGTGGACGCTGAAGAAGGTGCTAGTGAGCAAAGGCAAGTCGGACTTCTTAAGGCAGCATTTGATCGCTCGGAGGCAGCACAGCAGCAGAAGCTCATCCATCTCCGCTGCAGGACGACAACAACGGGTAACAACAGCCGAGTATGTTTGGCATTCTCACCACGCTTGCCGCACACGGAGGGCTATCGCGTTGGCCACCGCTGTGTTTCGCAGGCACGAGTCTGCAGCATGATTGAGAGTCGCGCAACGCTGTACGGCGGCCCGAGTTCGATCCCCGCTCATCGTCGACACCGGTGACGATTATCTACACCGCTTCTGGGCCTCCCATTGGTAGACTCAGCCTCAAATGAGCACCTGGTCCGATTGAGCGATTTGCAAGGTGACTTTTCAAATTCGGCAAAAATTCGGACAATGACGTCGGCGAACAATAAACTACTATTTTTTTACTGCTATTTTTATTTTAGCGGGGTAAGACCACTGAGCTATGTAGCTCTTTTTCAGAAGCGACCTGGCCACATATGATAGCTCAACGAAGTGGCTTATCACGTGAAAATTTATAGCAGATATTTTAAACGCACGTTGATTCTAAGTGTGGAGGGAAAAACCAGAGGACCCGGAGAAAAATCCACACGACCACGGGGAGAACATGCAAACTCAAATTATATATAGGAGTCAGGGTCAGGATCCAAACCACAAACTCCTGTATACCAGGCGAGCTAGTTAACATCTCGCCACCACGGTGCCGGAACATTTTGAAGGACGTCAGGGGACTTTCATCGTCTTGCGGTGAAGCAGACAGCCTCGTATTTTGCGGTTAATATTCCCGCGGTAATAACCAGGATGGGCCTGCTGGATTAGAACCGCGGACCTCTGCAGCCAGCAGTGAACACGTTAGCACTCGGCCATTCACCAGCACGTCATGCGATTGTCATGTCGTGCGATCGTTCATTCTGTCAATAAGAAACGATCACACAAAGAATCACATTACTCCAAAATTCATCGCAAAGTGATTATTATACAGCACTCATCGTCTGTTGAGCAGCACTTCAGAGGCAGGGGGTTTGGCGGATCACGCTGATTTCGCCAGGAGATGGCAGGACAGAAAGTGGGTACATAAGCTGCCTTGGCAAACCTTTGAGCGTCATTTCAACGTATGTGCGGTGAGTTTTAATTCATGTAATTGGCCAAACAACCCAATATGCAGCATTCCGAGCCTGCAGAAGTGTCACAACTCAGCGAGGCATTTCCAGGTAAAAATTAAGCGTTATTTATTATAATATAAATGTATATAAATAAATATCAAAAAGGTAATGGTGCAGCCCTGCAATTATTTGCTCAATCCACTGCTGGTAAAAGGGTCTCCACTGAAGGAAGATCTGGAGAGCCTCTCTAGAGGCTATTTGGCCCACTCTTCCGGAAGATGTGCAAGTACCCATGCTGCATCGATAAAGTAACTGACAAATTACATAGCCATGAACAGGGATAGTATGGCATCCCACAGGGCCTGACATGGCAGTTGCAACAATGATGCAACCGTATTAAAATTCCACCCCCCGCCACTATCAACGCAGCAGCATAAACTAAATCGGTGCACCGCGGTAAAGTCGGTCGGCAGGTCCTGTGTGGCATGGCATAGCGCGTGAGTACTGCAAACTCTTCCCATAAGTCTGCTCAGCATGGAAGAGTAGGCCAAACATCTCTGCAGAGGGGCTCTCTGGAGCTCGCTCGAGCGGGAGGCTCTTCCGGCGCGAGACAGGAGACATCGTAGGGCTGCGCCGCTACCGGCGCTGCACCTGGCGTCATTTTCGCGACCGCTCCGTCGTCGGCCTGGGCTCCTGGCGACGACTCCTCGTCCTCCAGGCTCAGCCGCTGCACGTCGCCCAGGTCGGGCGGCGATCCCGTCGGCGGCACCGTATCTCCGTCGCCCCCGGTCTCGGGGCCCTCGGCTGCGAGCTCCGACGCTCCGGCCTCCGACCCAATGGCTCGGCTTTCGGATTCCGCCGAAGCTGGCCCTCCCCGCTGCCGTTCGTCGGGGTCGAGTGCGCAGCGGTGTGGGATGAGCGGAGGATGGGATTTGTCTCCGAATGCCCTGCAGCGGAAGAACAATTCAAAAGTCAAAGCGTGATTTCCTGTTCAATTGAGCATCGAGGCGGTGTTCAAACCTTGTTTACGGCACTGCACCAGTAGTGGAAAGTCCACATTCCCGCAACGGGGGCAAGTCTCTATGTAGAAAAATCAACGGTTGACTTCGCCACAAAAGTGGAACACACGTAATCAACCCTGGATGATTATGGGCCGAGTAGACCCCCCCCCCAAACCAGGAGTGGAAACTCCGACCGTGAGCCGCTCGCTCAACCGCTGAGCCAGAAGCAGAAGTTCAACACGACTGGGCACATTTGGACAGTCCCACGTGTTTCGGATGCAGGTCTCATTCGCGCTAAACGTGGGTGATCGTTAGTGTAATCGTGTAATGGCTTTTTGTTTACTTGGGCGTAGTGTGTCAAACATTTAGGATTGTCATTCTGAGAGAGAGTATTTTTACTCCTTTCTTGAAGAGAGTAAAGTGTTCACAGAAACACCACGCTTTCAGAAGTACCCCCCCCGCCCACCCTCCCCGACATCTCCAATTTGCACGGGTCAGCTACGTACACTGCGAAAGACGTTCAACATACATGCAAATGTTGGCTTCCTAGCCATTCTAGAACATCATTAGAATTCAGTCACTCGCTCACGCTTTTGCAATATTCTGTACATATTACACGTGAATATGAGGCCGCACTTTAATTACTTTCCTCTTAATCACTTGACGGTGCTTAGAAATATTTATATATATTTAGAATTTGCATGTATCTCTCCCCATGGTCGCGTGGATTTTTCTCTGGGTCCTCCGGGTTTTCCGTCCACATTTGAGACTGAACACACCACGCCTTTAGAATATTTGGCCGCTATAAACTTCCACGTGACGATAAGCCACTTGGTGGAGCTACCACTTGTGGCCAAGGTCGCTTGTGAGAGCTACACAGCTTTAGTTGGTCTTACCTGGTAAAATACAAGTATATACACACGACAGCACTAACTGGGTATTCTTAACAGCACGCTTTGAGCGAAAGCACGTGCTGCCATCTAGCGGAGTGCAAGCCACACAGACGCATGCGGCGCGTGCGTGACGCTGGGCACGTGACGCTGGGCGCGTGCGGTCCGTCACCAGAGGTGGTCGAGGTAGGTGTGAAGCACGATGATCCCTCGGCCCTTCATTGCCGCGGCGACCATCTGAGCGGTGGACATCGCCGTCACGCCAACCCCGATGGGAGCCCTGCGCGTGCGCACACACAGCACACATACACAGCACACACACACAGACACACACAGCACACACACACAGCACACACACAGCATATACACAGCACACACACAGCACACACACACACACATACCACACACACACACAGACACACAGCACACACACACAGCACACACACAGCATATACACAGCACACACACAGCACACACACACACAGACCACACACACACAGAGCACACACACAGCACACAGAGCACACAAACACAGCACACACACACAGCACACACACACAGACACACACAGCACATACACACACAGCACATACACAGCACACACGCACACAGACACACACAGCACACACACAGCACACACATAGCACACAGACACACACACACAGAGACACACACAGACACACACACAGCATACACACAGACACACACGTCCAAGTTTTGTGTTCTTCAAACATTTCCAGAGGGGAGGGGGGTGGGGGTTTGACAGCAGCATGGTGATGATGATGATGGTGGGGGGTGTTGTCACTCTTTGTGTGTTGTCGGGGGCCGCACTGTAGGCCACCAGGGGCCGCCAGTGGCCCGCGGGGGCCTTGGCGATAAAGAACTCTGGCGTCGACAAACCTTTTCCCAAGTTTCAGTTCTCCGAAGCCACCACTGTTCGCCTGCGTGTGCGTTTACTGATGCTCTCTGTTCCAGTGAGAATTCAGTTTCGGAGGTGTGCATGCTCTGCAGTTATGAAGCAGCGTTTGTTCATGCTGATGATGATAATTTGGCGATTCCATCAACGCAACCACCTCCGTCTCTCCCTTACATTTGTGTCTATCGTGGGAGGTGGCTGGGCGAGACGCCTGGATGGGGACAGATTTGATTGATTTCAGCAGGAAGGGCCCATTGAGCTGCTGGGGGCTACTCCGGTTTTTCCCTCCACATTTATAAACATGAATTGAGATTATTTAGTTTATTTTGCTGCGATAAATGTCCACATGATAAGCCACTTTTTTTGTGCTATCATTTACTGCCAAGTCGCTTCTGAAAAATAAAGTAATACCTCAGTGGGCTTTGTCTGGTCGGATGGGGATGGTTTAGTTTAGTATTTGTTTGTGTTTGGGCGATTTGTTAACTTTTATTGTACTTGTCACTTCTATCGTGTTATTGTTGTTGTAAAGTTCTTACCCCGTGCCCCTACTGGACATCTATACAAAAGATCTTTATAGCTCATGATGATTCTGTTTCATGGGCGTCCTACGATGGCACAGATCATCGTGCTAAGCTAGCGGCGCTCAGAGTCTGGGTTCGAATGCAGGGAGCAGCCCGCTAAACAATGTCACTAAATAATCATGTGTTCATATTCCATCGGACTCGTTAATTTCGTCACATTATTGTCGGCCTATGGTGGGTAGACATAGCCAGTGTCGCTGTCGTGATTTTTCATTCACATCGTTCACTCGAGTAGAGAGAAAGGAAAACTCGCTTTGTCGATTCATATTTTCGTCACCGATTTAATTCACCAAATGAAAACTGTCATGGTGTAATATCGATTTAAAGCTTTCGTGACTGCAGGGATTCATCTTCTTGGTTCTTTCGGTAAAGTCACGTAGAAGGGAAATAATAAAATAATAAAAATAAAACATAATAAAATAATTCTCACGACGTTTCGGCCACAACGCAAGCAGCCGTCCTCAGGTGAAGAAGAGGTCTGTCGGAAAAACAGCGTCTGAACTGAGCACGTCGTGAGAATTGTATTTTATTATGAACTGAGCATTCAGACGCTGTCTTTCTGACAGACCTGTTCTTCACCTGAGGACGGCTGCTTGCGTTGTGGCCGAAATGTCGTGAGAATTGTATTTTATTATGTTTAATTATTATTTTATTATTTCCCTTCTACGTGACTTTACCGAAAGAACCGAGAAGATGTCACAGTGTAGGCCGGTGAATCTCAACCTTTCTGGATATGCGGCCACCCCATTCAAGACCACTTGTACCACTCCCCCCTCCCCCAACCCTCCCCCCCGGCTCCCCTGGCCCCCCCCCCCGCCATCCACTCCCCTTGTCACTATTCCCCCCCAGGTCCAGATTACTAAGGTCACGATACACAGAGAGATCACATGTCCACTCCTCTAGGCAACGCGGTTATGGTGAGGCTTTTATTTTGTCTTGTCTAATAGCATGTTTTCTCTTCCTAAGGCATCTGCTGGTTGCATATTGGTGTGGTTGGTGTGAGTAAAGCATCTGTTTCACGTTGTGTATTCGCACGTGTTTTGTTAGTCAGGTATCTTGTTTCATGTTGTGTATTCGCGAGTTTGGTGCTAGTAAGGCATCTGTTTCACGTTGTGTAGTCGCACGTTTTCTGTTAGCAAGGAATCTGTTCCATGTTGTATTAGCGAGTTTGGTGCTAGTAAGGCATCTGTTTCACGTTGTGTAGTCGCACGTTTTCTGTTAGCAAGAAATCTGTTCCATGTTGTGTATTAGCGAGTTTGGTGCTAGCTAGGAATTTGTTTAAATGTCCTGCTTGTTTCGCCCCCCCCCCGCAACCCACTCCCTCGCATCTCCCCCCAGCGGCGTTGTGAGGTGCACAGCCCAGGGGACGGGGCCCAGGTGCCGCTCTCTCTACCTGCTGTTGGTGAGGTTGATGGCGCACATTTGTCCCTCCCGTAGGTCCGGCAGGCCGTCAGGGGGCGCCACCAGGCCTGGCAGCATGAGGTCTGTGGACGAAACAGGGAAGAAACCAGAGCGGGGGGGTCGTCGGCAAACCAAAATAACAAGAGGAACGCCATTTTTTTTTCGAATTCCGTAAAAACTCAACCCGTCAAGATGCCGCAATGCTCGTGGTGAGAATTGGAGATGGTGGCCCTTAAAGAGCCGCGTGCAGCTACGGAACCGCAGGTTGCCGACCCTTGAACTAGACAAAGCACACCCCCCCTGTCCACACAAAGGATAAAAGCGCCTCCTTCCCACATTTGTCGCTGCACGTACAACATAGTGTGGGTACACACACACCGCCGATAAGCACGTTTGGCCACGTACGGTGCGACAGAAGTTCAACGTAGGCACATACAAGCCATCAGCAGCGTTGGTTCAATACAAGTAGATGGCTTTTACCGGTTTCGACATTCAGTGCCTCATCAGCAGCGCTAGGCTCGCTTGAAACATTGCTGGTGATCTTGCCCGATGTTTACAGGCAAGGTGGTCTGCCGGTATTGGTTTAAGAAAGCCAATATTGAACCAATGCTGCTCATAAGATGCATTCCCGGAAGGCCTTGGAGCTAATGAATGGTCTGTGAAAAAACATCCGTTACTTATTATGTGGGGAGACAAATATAGGGAGGGGGAGTTATTTATTTTGTTATTCACATTCTCGACGATGAATGATCATCCCGCGCGGACACAAATGCAGGTTTATTTGGTCACAAACCCATGCTTTAGAACCAACGTATTTCTAAATAATCACTCAATGCACAAAGCAGCCCATTTCCTTTCATACAGGCACATACTAGCTTCACACTGAAATGAAACTTGACAGTTATCTGTGCTTTAAGACCTATAACATGACGCGGGGCAGCGGGTTCGTCCCCAATCTTTCTATCCCCCGGCTTTCTATAACCGCTTTAGTTCATGTTGACGGTGTGTACGCGTGCGTCGCAGCGTGATGCGACAAGCCCGCGCATCGCCTCAATAACAAACAAAAAAACCATCTAAAACGAGACAAGACAGAATTCAATTTCGTTTCACGATAACAGCTGCCTAGATATTTATTCGAAGGACAGGCTTGAGGAATTATTTCAAATTCTTAGGTTTTTTCGGTAAAGTCGCGTAGGTAAAAAATAATTTCAAGTACCGTACAAGCAACTCGAAAACGTTTGCATTCTAGATATTTATCTGAAAATTGTCTAGACACATTGCCTCTTCACCAAGCGTCCGCACAGGCGTGCCGTTACTCGCGATAAGACCTGCAGCACCCACGTGAAAATGAAATGTTGTTTGTGTGTGCGCAATGACGATATTGCGTAATTCCCCATCGTTAAGCCAAAAAAAGCCTCGCCGATTCTTAACTCAGTCTCTGTAGGCTCTTGCATTGGGATGTTTAGGCCAAATGCCCGTCAATGGGTGTGTTTCGTATCATGTGGATAGGAAGCCGGAGTGACCGGAGAAAACCCAGCACGCGCATTGGAGAACAGTCCACACTGCCTGGGCCACACAGCCCTCATGCCGACAATGTCTGGCAAAGATACAGTGGGTCACCCATCCAAGTATTGAACCAGGCTGGCTTCTGAGATGTGGCGAGCTCACACAGACATATAAACGCGTGCACCGTTCCCCACTGCTGCGTTTGAAAAAAATTGCGACCGTTCATGTATTCGGCTCGTCACCGCTGGGTTTTTTCTCTCGCCAGAATTTGTTCGACACGTATGATTGCGTTCACATCTTCGTCTTTTAAAGCGAACCGATGGACACTTTCAGGCATCATTTTCGACGGTTCAATGGGGGCACAGAGCCGCGTGCACTCGCTGCACAGAAGCAGCCATTCTCGCGCCGTTTGACAGTGATCTTCCTCTTCTTGGTTCTTTCGGTAAAGTCACGTAGAAGGGAAATAATAAAATAATAAAAATAAACATAATAAAATACAATTCTCACGACGTTTCGGCCACAACGCAAGCAGCCGTCCTCAGGTTAAGAACAGGTCTGTCGGAAAGACAGCGTCTGAATGAGCACCACCAAGCTTGGCAACGTATATTTAAGCTGGGTTGGAGGGGGAAGGGCGCCTTGATCTTCCCGTCCGAAGCGGGCGTTCAAGTGCGTGGCGTGCCGTAGTGGTGGAAGTTGCAATGCGGCCACCGCCATTCAAACGCAGTCCCCCGTGCATTTCGCGCACCGCTTTGCCGAATGGACGTTTCGTAGGCGGTAAACAGACGAGAAACCGGTTAGCCCGCCGCACCATCTACCATCGCTCAGGGCACAGCGCTCGCTGCTGCGCATCGCCGGTGTCAGCGATGGGGACGTGCGCGCGACCGCGCCGTCCGTGTGTATCTCTCGTTGCGTGAAAAAACTTTAAAGGAAATACGTGGACGCACAGGCGAACAAAAAAATACACCGCACCCAAAACAAAGGGAGCATTGAAAATGATTTTGAAACTTGATATCCCCTGCATTCCACCCCGCGGGCTTTTTAACTTCCTACGTAAAAAACAAACGGACGAGATTTATTGCTAAGCAGTGCCTGATGTGGAAAAAAATTCTCGAGCAAAATGACAGCCATGCTGTTGGGGACAGGGGGGGGGGGAGAAAAAAACTCCAACACAACGTTTTGGGTAGTGCTTCTTCAATGCAAGGGAAGGGTGGCCACAACACGCAGAGCAGATAAGGGTCATTATTCAAGGGGCGCCACAGTGTCGAGATGCTAACTACCTCGCCTGGTATACAGGAGGTCGTGGGTTGGATCCCGACCCTGACGCTGCCTGTTTATTTGGAGTTTGCGTGTCTCTCTCCCCGTGGAGATGTGGTTTTTTTCCAGGTCCTCCGGTTTTTCTCTCCACAGGTAGAGACGTGCGTTTACAGTATGTGTCTGCTATTATTTTACACGCAATAAGCCACTTCGTTGAGCTGTCATTTGTGTCCAGGTCATTACCTACTCGGGCTGATGGGGCAAAGTGCCGTTAGCGTGCACCTACAAAGAGCGGCACGGCGCATGAGCGGGTGGTGTGGTCAACACCACGCAGGTCAGCCTTTGTCTCCTCAGTGCCATTTACACGCTGCAAGAAGGATCATTTGAGGCTGACTCAACCTAGGGGAGGCCCAATGTCAAATGGAGATAAACTCTTCACTGACGTTAGCCATGGCGGGGAATCGAACTCGAGTGGCCGGGTTCACAGCGTAGGTGATCCCCCAATGCCAACGCTACCCACATACACATACCTAATGTCTGCTTGATTTTATGCCTACGACTTTGCTGTGCACTCGCTGTATTTCTCTCTGCTCTTCTGCAGAACTAGCTTCAAGCGTATGTTTTTTTTCAAAGGGTCACAAATGAATTGTCTATACAAGTAAATCCTTGTATAATTTGCTCACACGGCCCCATCAAGCTGATTTTGTGCATTATAAACGTGCGTTTCGATCATGTAGCGCACACCAACCATGAGTTTTGAAATTAGCTCTTTAAAATGTTACGTTTTTACCCAAAGATGAAAAAATTAATGCATCAGCTCTGTCCATCTATCTGTAAAATCCGCAATTTTGTACAACCTAAAACGTAAGTTTTCGGAGCCAATACTATGATCTAAATATGTTTTAGAGTTAGGTCACGTTGTAGGTTTTTTGTTGTTGCAAAAAATATCGTAATAACCCTCCACCACCCGACAAGATTGCCACGCTAACAAAGATTGTATTTATACTTTGCCGATGCATTGGTTAACTTCTGACCGATAAATCTCCTCACTGATGGCTTAAGAATTTTCTATGACTGAATTTACCATCAATATGCGACGTTTTCGCTCAGACTGCTTTGAGCATCAGAGGGTAGTAGTGAAAGCGTGACAGAATCCAGGCATATGCCTTTTATTTCTTGTTATGCCATGTAATGTGATAAATAAAAAGTGAATTCAGACAATCATAACCTACCAAACCCATGGATGAGCAAATAAACATATCAACATTTAACAAATAAGCACAGACATGCACATAAGGCACAACAGATGGTCCCCGCTTCTTCGATGATATCCAGAGTTATATCATCGGGTCCAGGAGCTTTTCCTTCATACATACTGATAAGGGCAGCCAGCAGTGGATCGAGCATAACTCATGATGATGATGAACAGAGAATATACACACACATGCACCTTGCTGTGGATGTATCCGTTTCACTGCGGGGAGAACATTACTCTCATCGTCCCCCTTTGCAAAAATAACTTACAGCAATGCTAAATCATACTTATTGTTTTCATCCGTGAGAATAAAACAAACTTTAATGAGCGAAACTCTTTCGGGTAAAAGGGCTCCGCGGAGTTGGGGGTGGCCATTTGAACTGTCAAGGAGAATGTTTCTCGAGAAATCCTTCTAATGTGTCTGGCTGTGTGCTCGCAGGAAGCTGTAAACTGAGATTAACGGACCGAGCTGGTCCACGTCGGCCAATTTTACATTCCGTCCAGAATGGCAGCATTCCGCGCAGACTACACGAATCCGCATGCCCTAAGACTACGAGCCCCTGTGCAGCCTACTCAGGATCATGGGGCAAGTGCTGTTAGCGAGTACCTATGAAGAGCGGCACGGCGCACGAGCGGGTGGTGTGGTCATCGCCACGCCCGGCCGCATTTGTCTCCACACAGTGCTGTTTACACGCTGCAACAGGAATCATTTGAGGCTGAGTCAACCTAGGGGAGAAACCAAGGCCAAATGGAGATAAACTCTCCACTGATGTTAGCCATGGCGGGGAATTAAACTCGAATAGCCTGATTCATAGCATAGGGCTTTCCACTATGCCAACGCTACGCACATATACAGAGACCCCCCCACCCAACCCCGTATAACCTTAACATAATTTTGGGGAAAGTGCTGTTAGTGAGCACCTATGAAGGCCGGTATGAAACAAGAGGGGGTGGGTGGCCAGCACCATGCTTGGCCGCCTTTGTCTCCCGAGTGGCGATGCTTACACATGGCAACAATCGCCATTCGCCAGGAAGTGGCGGTGATGCCACCACGGCGCTTGTGCCAGG